CAAAAAAAAAAAAAAAAAAAAAGCCAACATCTACAATCCACAGTTAGTAGACCAGCTAGTCTGAGGGTAGGTTTACATGGCACAATTCAGTGGTTCTTAACAGAGCAAATTAGCTTGAATGAAATTCTGTATTTCTGTGAGTAGACTGCATCTGGTACCCAAGGTAGCTCTGAATGAGATATCTTGGGTATCTCTATTGCAGTGCAGCGGACCATGTAGACAGACTTTTAGACAACTGAATGGAAAATAGTCAAACTTTTGAAGTGGTCATGTTTGTCTGCTATTGTATTGTGTAAAGCTGCAAAGATGATAACCTTAAATTAACAGTGCACAGTGTCACAGGCACCACAGTATCTTAAAACTAAAACAAATGCTTTCCCTTAGACAAAAGTATAGAAACAATTAAAAGATTGAGCTATTTGTTTCATTTTGTAATAGCTTCTGTAATGATTCATGAAACCAGGATGAGCTGGTCCTGAATTCTGACTTTGCATTATGGTAATAATGTACATTGTTTCCCATGGGAGGGAGCAGGAGAGGACGTTATTTAATGATCGTATCGTCATCACTCCTATTCCCATGAGAGAGCAACCATTTTGATACTGTAACTCTTGTAACTGTGTGTCCCAAAATAAATTATGGAAAGTCAGCTTGCTGTAGCTTCCTGCTGCTAACCTGGAATTGAAAATCGAATGTGTTTCAGGCAATATATTATGACACGGCTCCCCTTAGTACAAGCTGCTGTGTGGTACAGTTTACCATTTTTAATAACCATGTTTAAATATTAATGAAAAAGGTTTGCAAGTTAGGGCCTTCATCTGGCAAACTTCTCATAGGAGAGAAGTGGGTTTTGGTTTATGTTGGCAGAAGTTCTCAAAAGATCATAAACCTGAACCCTTACAATATCTTGCTTTCCTCCAAAGTATGTCGAAATGGTAATATTTTACTGAAAAAATTAATCATTCCTGACTGGCAGGTCTACTTCTAAGTCCTTTTTTTTTCCCCTCCAAAGAATATTTTCACCTAAATGGGTTTTTTTGGCCACTCAAAATCCTTAGAAAACCCAAAAACCTTAAGTTTCCCATCTTGTATTGCTGTAAATGCTTGTGGAGAAGATAATGTAAACATTCTCCTGGATGAATGAAGTTTAGTGATAGTTATAAAGGAATTTCAAAATTCATGAAGTTCAGGAGGAAACCTGTTTAAAGTATCCCCATGGGCAAAGAAGGAAAGGCCTAAAAATAAGGCATATGCATGAGTGGGCTGACAACCCAGAGTTACAGATAGAGTGGCTCTGAGAGCTGTCACGGCATTATGAAAAACAAAAGAAATCTTTTTTTGGATGAAGGTGTGAGATGAGAAGAACTCTTTTTATTTTTTAATTTATTGTGACAGAATTTTAGATCTCCTCCCATCTGGCTTTGCAGAGAAGAATTTCTTGACAAAATTACTTACTGCTGTGCAAGGCTGTGTAGGTTTGTGAGACCTGGCCCCTTCAGTAATTAATTGGTTCCCCCTGAACTTCCAATTTTCACCATAAAGTTTTTATTATTAGGTTTTGCTGTATATTGTATCCAAAAAATCTGTCCATAAATAGAATTTAGATGCTTGGAACCCATCAAAATATTTCAGCTCCCTAAGCATGTGCAGTGGAAAATGGTGTCAGCTTGCATTTCTTCTTTGGGATATTTTGTGTCTTCCCCCTTCCCCTGCTCCTTTCCCCCTGCCTCCCAAATATCAATTTCAACAAATGAATGTTAGCAGCAAATTCATACAATAGCCAA